GGGGAATAAGCTTATTTCAAAATAGTTATTTTAGGAGCAATTATTTCAAATTTAGAATAGTGATAGAAATGCAGCTGTATTAGTCTGGTGTAACTGAAACAAAAAACAGGACTATGTAGCACTTTAAAGACTAACAAGATGGTTTATTAGGTGATGAGCTTTTGTGGGCCAGACCCACTTCATCTTGTTAGTCTTTAAAGTGCTACATAGTCCTGTTTTTTGTTTCAGTTACACCAGACTAATACAGCTGCATTTCTATCACTATTCTAAATTTGAAATAATTGCTCCTAAAATAACTATTTTGAAATAAGCTTATTCCCCAAGGGGAGTGTCTACACAGCTGTGTTATTTCGGAATAACAGCCATTATTCTGAAATAACAACGCGAGCATCTACACAGCCATTCTGTTATTTTGAAATAAATTTGAAATAATGGATGGCTTATTCTGTAGCTTCTATCTGAATTTCTTTCTCTGTGTTGTTTTCCTTCCTGAGTGGGCGGGACAGCCCACAGAGCTGTTTAGAACAATGTATTCCTTCTGTAGAGGGCTCGAATTGGAGAGCTATATTTAGGGCAGTTCCTGATTTTCTGGGCTTAATGAATGAACAGAATGACCCAGTCACAGGCATTGAAGCAACTCAGAAAGTTCAGCTCGGTCGCTGGGTAGATCGACTTCTCCTGTTCCTTCCAGTGCTGAGAAGGGACCTCCTAGCTTGGAGCAGCTTTAAGTCTGTTCCCTGTGCATGGGGGCATGTGGAGCCATAATAATGCACTCAAATTCAAGGACTATATGTGTACAGATTAGGGATGTAAGCAACTAAATGACTAGTCAACTATCTGATAAGCAAAAGTTTATTGGATAGTCGACACACTAGTTGACTAGTCTTTGCATCTGTCCTTATTAAACTTCATCCTATTTACCTCAGACGCGTGATCTCTTTTATCAAGTCCTGTGAATGCAGCCTGATACCAAGGGTCTTTTGGACAATTGGCATGAAGTCAGATCACCTGGACTTTATTAACAATCTCATATTACCTGGGGACAGGACGGTAGAAACCGGAACCAGCCCAAAAACAATAATAAGAGAGAAAGATCCTTGATGTCCTATCTAGTTCTGGTTTGACCAGTGAATTGTCAGATAGATTGGTCACTGCAGCCCAATACAGTCCATTTGCCCCATAATGATTTCCAACAAAAAATTCTCAAGACGTTTGTCCAATCTAACTCTTCATAATTGCACACAAACCTTCCATTAATCCCCCAGGCAGATTACTCCAGGGGATCAGTTACTCACTGAAACATCCACTTGGAAAGATGCTTGCTAAAACAAATGATCTGATTGCAATAGTTGCAATTCATGCTATGTTATGACCCAACCAATCAGGGAAGAGGAAAAACGCCATGTGAGTTATAGCAGGGAGATCGTTCTCTATGAAAATCTAAAGGATACTGTTTTAAAAAATGCTACTGAAAGAGGATCCTTTTCTGTTTGTGTTTATATGACATTTCCTTAAAGTGCTGTCTGATCCCAAACCGATAGGGTTACACCAAGGATAGATTAGCCCAATGGGCTAGCACAGGAGTAAGTGGGAGCAGAATCTGCCCCATGCTGTTGCACATTTCACACAAGCTGTTCCTTGGTAACAGCATTACAAACGCAGCCTCTGTCGAAGTATGTTTCTGACCTGCTCACCCCAATCCTGCTGGTGATGGTGGATTTTTGTACATCACCGCCCCACACTGCACATTAGCCACTGGCCCCTGAGGAACAAGGCCATTCCCATCAGAGACAGCCACAGCTTTATTAGAAGCTAAATCACCGGCTTATGCTTTGCAGGAGATATCAACAGGTTACTGGCTCTCTGCAGCTGACGGGGGCTCTGCCTCGTTATTTGCCCCCTTTGGCAGTTCTCATTGCATAAGATCTTCTGTTTTTTCCCATTGCTTCCTCCTGTTCTGACAACAGCACGTGATCCTCATGCAGGAAAAGGGCCAGATTCTGATCTTGGAGACACTGATCTCAGTCTGGAGTCGCTCCATTGATTTTTCGTGGTGTGAGTCTGGATTCACAATGCTCTATGTAAAAGCCACAGGCTCTGGCCCAAGGTTTTTTGCAGTTTTCATGGCCATATTTTTCACTGCAATTCAATACTTTTCCGTTTTTATACCAGGACCCAACTTCAGCATTGACTGAAGCAGGCGCAACGCCCATGAACTTCAATTGCACTCACAACCAACCAGTGCAACGATTGGAATGCAGAGATAGACACAAAAATTCAACGGAGCAGCTCTGCTCTGGCCTATAGTGGCAGGACTCCTGCAGATTAATACGGGAGTCAAGACTATTCAGCGATATGAAAAGGGTCAGGTGTCCATGGTACTCTGATGTCTACTGGCAACTATCCCAGTTGAGAGCCTATGGCCCAGGCTCTGGTGTTTCTGAGTTGTTTCAGGAGGAACATGGAGGCCTTGCAAAAGCTTTGCTGATGTTTTGCGAGACAGCTAGAGCTGCTAACCAGGTATAGTTATTAGGAACAAAACCCTCTGTCTGTTTGTCAATCCCTACTGGCAGGTCACCTGGTGTATGTCTAAACTACATGGCTCCGTCTACAGAGCCATGTAGATTAGGCTGATCGGCAGAGGGAAATGAAGCCATGATCGATGGAGCCATGTAGTTTAGATACACCCTATAATTGAAGGTGGGACCATCAATGAGCTATCACCCTGTCTCTGCCACTGCTTACAACCTGGCTCCGTTACTGGGTGTCACCCAGTGTGAATCAGGGTTCCAGAATCTGTCCCCCAAAGAATGTATAACTTTAATATGACTTTCCTTAAATCTTGAGGAAGAGGGATAATATTTCTATATTTCCCTTGCACGTTACTGTATTGTCTCAGTGCTGACTATGTAAGAGTTTTATAACTAAGAAAAACCCAGTTGTTGATGACACAAAATTCTACCATGTATATACACAAAACTTCAATATTTTAGCAATGAACTTCCACCTTAGCTAGTGATAAGTTCCATGTCTCAGCAGTATGTGTGTTCAAAGAAAGAAGATGGGGGGGAGGAGGATAGGTGGAGGGAAAGGGACACAGGAATCTATTTATTTCCCCATTTATGATTTTGAGGAAACATTTTTGCATAATCAAGGAAGGAGGCAAAACCACTTGCAAGCAGACTTATTTAAAGTGCATTTCACTAGAAATGCGTTCCTTAAAAATATGCTGAGTGGATGATGACTCATAAGGGAAAGGTTCTTCTGGTGGTTGATGCTTCATGGCTGGACCTTGGAAAACGCAGCAGTGTAGGGTACCAGAAAATTTGGGGCACCACTGGGTGTTAGTGCCTTCCCACCTCTTCCTGTCCCTATTTTGTGCTTCTGCTTCCTCAGGAGAGGATCTAGTTAAAGAGGAAAGGCCTGCCAGTCCTACTAGCAGAACACTGGTCTTGTGAAAGAGCCATTCAAGTGGTAGTGAAACCATTTCAAAGGCATTTGCATATCCTGCCGGTTTCTGAATTTACTGTGTGGGTTGACAGGATCTTAGTTTAAAATTCTCTTTAAACACGTTTCATTTGTGTGTGGCTGAAGATTATAAAATCACATCTCTAAAAATGGTTGTGTCCCCCGCCCCTGGCTGCCATTGGGCCTAGGGCACCAGTTTCATAGTACTGTGTAGGGCCCCATAAGTCCTAAGGATGGTCCTGCCCAACTCTGCCACAAAGGTAGAGGGGGTGACTTTAGGCACAGCCCCTCCAAGGTGTTTAGGGTTCTTTGTGTGCTAGTACGGCCCTTCAGGAGTAGGGATGTAAGGGAGTAGTCAGCTAGTTGACTACCCAAAAAGCTCATGCTTATCAGGAGGAAGCACGGGGGGGAGCAAGAGCCGGTGCTGGAGGAAGCCAGTTTAAAAGCTAGCTCCCCCCACACCATCTCCGCAGTGCAGGGAGGGAAGGCAGAGCCGCAGTGGTCCCAGAGCCGGCGCGAGCTAGGACTGTTCAGTCCCAGCTCGTACTGGCCCCAGAAGCTCCGCACTTTAAATGTAGGAAAAACCCAGTGGACTTTTAGCACATTTAAAATGCAGAGCCGCAGCCGTCCCGGAGCCAGCGCGAGCAGTCCCAGATCTGACTCACGCTGGCCCCAGAAGCTACCCCTGCTTGGCTCTGCATTTTAAATGTAGTAAGAGCCCGGGTGCTAACCCTGCTGCGGCTCCGCAGTTTAAAAGTAGGAAGAGTTGGACTGCCTGCGCACCTGGCTCCGAATGCCTTTAAACTGCAGCGCCACAACACGGGTAGCGACTGACCTTCCCCCTTATCGACTAATCGATTGCTAATTAATCAAAACCTAACGTCCCTACTCAGGAGAGATTTAAGTGCTGCCCAGCTGATTAGCAGAGCACCCACAGCCAGTTTTGTGTTTCTATTGGTGGTGCACATTCGCACATTCCCCAGTGCACCTTAACATTTATTCCACACATTGATGGAAAATTTTTGAGGGAACACTGCTAGACTCCTAATACCAGGATGGAAATTAGGAGTCTAAATACCCCTGAGGAACTGGGCCTTAATCTCTCAGTTCACAGATGGCACAACAGCATTTCCCTACCTCACAGGAGTGCAGGGAGGATACATGGATTCCTTACTGGGAGCACTGTGGCGCGAGGCTAATGGGAGCCAGATAAATCCTTGTGATGAATGGGCCACCATTCCCCTGCTGAGGAAAAGCAAAGACAGTTGGGTTAACTCCTTTCCTTTGAGCCAAATCCTCACTTAAGGAAAGTCAATGGGCCCAATGCAAGCAGATTGGCAGCACCTCCCTCCTGTTCATTTCATCTTTCCCTGGCTGTAACAGGAGCTGAGTTTCTCTTTCTCTCATGTTTCTCTGGTTCGTAGCTTTCCGGCTGAGATGACATGGCCCATTTGGCATTATGAGTCTATCAGTCTCTTCCTCTTTCTTGCTGCCAGAGCCCCGGAGAACAAAGACGAGTGTGCGCGTAATGGATGAGTGACACCCCTAAAGAGAGGCCCGTTAGCTTTGGGTGCTTAAGTGCCGATGCCGGGAGTGAGTCAGCTACCAGGTGTCAGGAGTATTTTAGTGGCTCAATTAGCAGCCGCTCCAGAAGGTAAAATGACTAATGACTAATCTCCCTGAGCTATTGCAGCCAGTTTTGTTCTGGTTTCATTCAGACAAAAAGACTCGGCTACGCACTGTGCTGGATAGCGAGGCCGGATTATAATAATCGTAATACGAGTAACGCAGAAAACTCCTGCCCTGGCCACTTAGTCAGGGTACGTCTATGCAGCAGGGCAAAAGTCAAATTAAGCTACCTAACTTCAGCTACGTCAATTGCATAGCTGTAGTCGAAATAGCTTCATTTGGCTTTTGGTGCTGTCTACACAGCAGGAAGTCGAAAGAAGAACACTCTTCTTTTGACTTCCCGTACTCCTTGATGGGAGCTGGAGTAAGATGTCCCTCAGCTCGACAGTATTTTGAAATAACAGCTTGCTGTGCAGATGTGCTCTATGTTATTTCAAACTAACGTCAGAGAGATATGCTATAAGGAGAGGGATTCATAGTGCTGTTTCCACCTCCTCCCACCCCTGCTAACTTCTGAGATGGCGCTGGTGGCAGGGTTGCTGCCCACAGGGTCCTGGGCAGGAGGGGTGCACAAAGGAACTGCTCCCTGTTCCGGTGGATGTCCAAAGTACTTCCTTGGGTCCATGGTGCAAAGGCTGCACTTCCTGGCTTTTCTTGGCTCCCATTTGGCATGTCAGGCAGCCCAGGACAAAGAAGAAGGTGCTTCGGGGCCTTTGTAGTGACCCCAAAGAGCACTGTGGCGGGGTAGTCTGCCATCAAAGGCAGTGGTGCCTAGTGGTCAGCTAACCCAGTCACGTGCAATGGCCTTCAAGAGTTGAGCCGGGTCCAGCAGATGCACAGAAGAATGAAGAAAGCTTGGGGAAGCACTGTGCATAAGGGACCAAGACCTCGCAGAGAGCAGGAGGCCATGTCTTCATGTCCCCCAGCCCACTGGCAGAGGGATGAGGAGGGGAAACTCCCTAGTGGCGGGTGTGACGGGGCTGGCCTGCCCCGCACTGAACGGGGGGGCGGAGAGCCTGTCTATTGGATAGAATATGCCCCTCCCCCACAGCCCTGCTGGGCATGCTCGCAGTGCAGCCCCAGTATAAAAGGCAGTTGGGGCTGACCTCTGAGGAGGAAGGCGCTCCGGCCCAACACCCAGAGTCACAGCCAGACCTGCTGCTGGAACCAGAGCCGTTGGGACCGCCGCCGTTGCTGCTACCGTCCCCGGGTCAAGCACGCCCACAACGCTGACTCCAGGGGGCCGCCCGCCCCGCCGCGGGGGACAACCCCTTCGCTGCTGCCCCAGACACGGGACCTGCCAACATTGCAGCTGCCGTCAGCCCAGCTTCGCCAGGTGGGGTCTCCGTTGGCCACAGGGCTGGGGTAGGAAGCAACCCAGGGAAAGGGGTAGGGACCCCCCAGTGGGCTCGGCGCGTTTTGGGGAGAACTCACCACGGAGCCGGTGATGGGAACCACCCACCACTAATAGGGCCCTGGGTTGGGGTCTGGTGGATAGGGAGGGCTCGGACCCCCCTACCCCGTCCCCTCAGGGCGTGGACTCGTCCTCAGGGCCTGCCTTAATCTTGGGGAGAAGAGGGCAGGGCTGGGGACCCCACCACAGCGGGGAGAAGAGACATAGGGATTACTCCCCAGTGGCCAGGAGCAGATGTAAGCCGGTGCCAAGGTGGCTGACAAAGAAGAAGTGGTGAGGGCCATCAACCCGAGGTGGGGCTCATAGTATCCAGAGACCTGGAGAAAGACGCTGAGAAGCTGAGCAAAGAGAGGAGCAGTCCGGGGAACAGGGCGGAGGGATGGAAGGGGCAGTCCCTGCCCACGTCCACTGAGTCCCTGGGCTGGAACCCAGAGGAGAGGGCAGGCATGGGTTCCCCTGCCTCTCCCCCACACCAAACACAGGTCCCCAATGTAAAAGCACCCAAGAATGGCAAGTGCCACACAGCGGTTGGGAGATGGGCCTGCTGGCCAGTAGATTTAGTTTCCTATTTCTTGGTGGGGTCTTTTCTGTTAATCCCCTGAAGGGAAACAGTGCAGTGACCTGGCCCAGGGCGAGGCGTTGTACAATGACTGACTGTTGTGGCACCAGAACAGCTGACGGGGGCGCTAGAGGGAAGGGCCCACCGCCAGGCTGCAGCAGATTGCTAGGAGACACTCCCGTGAGGAGTGGCCCCATGGTGGGCACATATCCCCTTTCCCCCTTGAGTGCCACTCCTGGAGCCCCACAGCAAGAGCCCAGGAAGATAGGTTTGTCAGCCATGATGGAAGGGAGATGCCTATTTCCAGCTTTCCCATGTCTCTTGCATATCCCCACTGGTCTGGGCGCCCTCCGGTCATGCCTAGACTGTTCCCACTAGCAGAGCACATGATGCATCTGGCTGTATTTGCCTGAAACTCTCCATCCCATTAGTAGGTGTGGCTCTGTGGATCCCACTGAGAGAGTTTTTGCTCATGCAGTGAGAGTCAAGGGAGGCAGGAGTGGCTCTTTGGGGAGAGAGGACATATGGTGTGGGCTGAGCAGGGTTCAGGGAGGAGCCTTGGGGCAGTCGCAATGGGCAGAAGTCCTGAGCTGGGCTTTGCTTTGTTGTTGTTGCTAAAGCCTAACCCCAGCGAGCTGGACTCTGTTACGTACGGTGTGCACTGCCTCTGGAGAGCAGGCTGGGGAAAGCGCTTGTTCACAACAGCCCACTCAGCGGTTCCACATTTAGACTGCTCCATATTTATCAGGCAGGCTCAGCTTCACCTGCCTAAACCTCCTCAATTTATTCACTGCATATTAGCGGGTAAACTCCAGGCCCTCTGAACGGTGAGGGGGGGAAATCACTCTGATGGCTGCAGATGTAAATGTCCCTTTTGGACATGAAACCGAAGAGAAATCGGATGGTTTGTTATATCCCCAACAAATGTAACAAGTTGCTTTCAGCAACAGGCAAAACAGCGCTACCTGGGACCTCTCCCCTGCATCTCCAGGGGACCTGGATTTGATCACCAAAGGCCATTGTCCTGAGTGGAAGCTAAAAAGCCACAATGGACATTCTGCAGCATTTGTAATGGGCCAAATATCCCTGCAGTGCTGATTTGGAACACAGAACACCAGAACTGGAAGGAACCTCGAGAGGTCATCAAGTCCAGTCCCCTGCCTTCAAGGCAGGACCAACCACCAATCATCCCTGATAGATGTCTATGCAACCTGCTCTTAAATGTCTCCAGTGATGGGGATTCCACAACCTCCCTAGGCAACTTATTCCAGTGTTTAACCAGCCTGATAGCTAGGAAGTTTTTCCTAATGTCCAACCTAAACCTCTCTTGCTGCAAAATGTTGCTCTGTTACACCAATGCCAATGCAATGATTTCAAGGGAGATATCTCAATGTAACTGGTCGCAGGATTCAGCCTTTTTCTTCCTCCTAAGGCGGAATCCGGGTTATGATATTCATGATAAGGCGAAGTACCAATGGCACAGCTTAAAAACGAAGCTGTTCAAGTTTGAGCTATCCCTCGTGGCACGTCCCTATTTTGGGCTGAGTTGTTTTACTCTATCTACCGCTAGCTGCTTTTTGTGTTCACTGATGCTGGGAAAATATTGATATGCAAGGCCCCGGCACAGACACTTAGAGCTTCTCAGCAGCCTGCACAATCTGCATTTGTATTCTCCCCAGTCCTGCGACACTTTCCAAATGTTTTGTTAAGTTAATTTGTAGCTGCAGCCACTTGTGAATTTTTCCGATTATTTGATCTGTACCTGAACTAACACAAAGAGTCACTATTGTTCTTGGACAATGCGCTCCAGGAGCAGAGTGCGTCTTTGTGTTTAATGTATGCCTGCCCTGTAACCCAATATGAAGTCCCACAGCTCCCCACAATGTTACTGTCAAAATGCCATGACACTCAAAAGGACTCCGGCACCATTCCATACCAGCCACCCTATCGGCTCAGTCCCTGGGAAACCACTCCAGCCGGGTGACCTGCTTGCATAGGGATGCAGGTACTGCCAAGCTAGTTTTTATCTGCCTACAGGTGCCAGTCTAGGGATATGAATGGTTAAGGGGCTAACCCCGGGGTGGGCAATAATATTTTGCCGGGAGCCACTTCAGAAATTTTTTAAGTGGCCCTGGACCGCACAGGAAGGGGCAAGGTATCAAGTGGAAGGAACGGGGCCAAGATACTTCCGGGTTCCCCACCTCAGACAATGATTGGTCTGGGGGTGAGGGAGTGCCTTTGCCCTCCCCACGTTGCCCCTTGGTGCTCATGCCCCTGGCAAGGGAGGAGACTTCCTGTGCTCCCCTGCCACTAGGCCAAATAGGGCCTGGGGGTAGGGGAGCACACAAAACCTCCTCCGCTCTCCCCACACCCTGCGAACTGGCCTGGGGGCGGGAGAGCAGAAGGGCTGCCGTGGGCCAGATCCAGTTCGCAGAGGCCCTTTTGCCCACCCCTGGGTTAACCGGTGAGCATCACCCTTATCGCTCTCTTACCAATTAACCAGGATTTTACCTCCCTGCTGCAGTCAAGCCTCTGAGTGCAGTGCAGAAGCTCCCTGTCTCTGACAGTGGCTAGTGTCAATTGCCTGAGAGGAGCAGACAACAGAAAATTCACTCCTCAGTGGACAACTATGGAATAATCTACCCTGAGCTGAAATTTCCTTCCTAATCCTATTAGTGAGTGCCTTCTGCCCAGAAGCCAAGAGGGTATGTATCCTTCAGTTATATTTCACCCTTCATTCCTTAAATCCTCCTGAGCTCTTGGCTTCAATAATATCTAGTGGCAGTGAGTTCCACAGGTTATTTTGTGGCAGGGTGAAAAAGCTTTGCCTCTCATCACTTTGCAATAAGTTGCTGTAACAGACTCGCGCTGTGCCATAGAATCCTAGAATACTGGACCTGGAAGGGAGCTCCCGAGATCACCAAGTCCAGTCCCCTGCCCCCACGGCAGGACCAAGGACCAAGGCATTTCATGCTGCACGGTCCCCTTTCCATCAGTGCTCCGAGAGCTGTGGGTGGAGGACACAGCATTACAGCAAGTCTTGTGACAAGGCTTCTCCTGAAGTTGCCACAAGTTGCTCCACTCCTACCGAAATCAGGAGTTCCTGAGGAGAGCCCGGGGTCTGCATTATCTCCCCTGTGGATTCCTAGGGGCTTGCTAAAAGGCAATGCCAGGAAAAGTCATCGCTCTCTGACCCGCCAGCTGCGTAGGGTTGCCAAGTGTTTGGTATTCTACCGGACAGTCCGGTTTTTGCACCCTCTGTCTGGTAAAAAATTCAGAAAATACCAGACATGTGCAATGGTCGCCCTCCCCCACCCGCCCTGCCATTGTGTTGCCCTGGGGTCTGCCTCTCTCTGCTTTGGGTAGCAGGCGGCTGCTTTGCAGAGCATGCTCTGCTGCCTCCCCCTTTGTTCCCAGCTTGGTGGCTCTTGGTAGTAGCCACGCAGGTGTGTGTTTGGTGTGTGTGGCTGCCTCACCACAACCTACCCAGCCCCAGCACAGAACCCAGCCGAGGCTGTTCTTGTTAGTGAAGGGCTCTTAGGGGAGTCAGGTATTTGCTAAGCTCAATGGGAGACACTCACTGGCTACGTCTAGACTGGCATGATTTTCCGCAAATGCTTTTAACGGAAAAGTTTTCCGTTAAAAGCATTTGCAGAAAAGAGCGTCTAGATTGGCACGGATGTTTTTCAGCAAAAGCACTTGTTGCTGAAAAGCGTCTGTGCCAATCTAGACGCACTTTTCCGGAAAAAAGCCCCGATCGCCATTTTCGCGCTCATGATCATGCATCCCAGGATCATGTTTGCCTATTTTGCAAAAGTGACACACTATAGTCTAATATTTACCTTGTGGTCCGCTATGACCCAGAGATCCCTTTCTGCAGTACTCCTTCCTAGACAGTTGCTTCCCATTCTGTAGGTGTGAAACGGATTGTTCCTTCCTAAGTGGAGCACTTTGCATTTGTCCGTATTTAACTTCATCCTATTTATCTCAGACCATTTCTCTAGTTTGTCCAGATCATTTTGAATTATGACCCTGTCCTCCAAAGCACTTGCAACCCCTCCCAGACTGGTATGATCTGCAAACTAAATAAGCATACTCTCTATGCCATCATCTGAATTGTTGATGAAGATATTGAACAGAACCGGTCCCAAAACAGACCCTGCGGAACCCCACTTGTTATGCCCTTCCAGCATGACTGTGAATCATGAATAACTATTCTCTGAGAACGGTTATCCAGCCAGTTATGCACCCACATTATAGTAGCCCCATCTAGGTTGTATTTCCCTAGTTCATTGATAAGAACATCATGCAAGACCATATCAAATGCCTTACTAAAGTCTAGGTATATCACGTCCACTGCTTC